TGTCTGAGGAAGCTATTCAGGAAGATAAGAACTTCTGGTGTGAGAGGTATGACACCATCACGATTAAAAAGGCTGCAGTACAGAAGACAAGGTCAATTTTTCTCATTGTATGTTCTCATAGAGTATGAATTAGATGCCATCAAATGCACTTCTTGTTTAGAACTGGAAATAGAATGGGGAAGTGAAGTGATGAGGTACAGGGAAAATGCAGAATCGTATTTGTGAACCAAGACCATAGGATGTGGGTTTATACGTGCAGTCAGTCCAATCATTGGGTGTCCCCATCATTAATGTGTGGACAGTAGAACACACTCACATGGGTATAAAGTTTATAATGTTAATAATAGGTTATGATGTTACAAATAAACATCAGCATAGTGACTACTAAAACATGTTAAGAGGTTTTATACTAGTTACAGACAAAACTTGCAGAAAATTCCAATCCTCCAAGTGACTCCCTGGATTTCTGAAAGCACAGAATGGTGAACTGCTATTCTTTTCTTTTCTATTTTGGCATTGACTCAGGAGAAATCCCATAAATCAGTCATTGGAGTCACAGCATTCTTATCAGACATTTTGTTTACTCGGACACGGATATGGGTTGTCTTTTAATTGTCTTTTTCCTTTCTGTATGATTTAAGATTTTAATGAATATTAGAAGCTGAACACAACACAAAGACTTGAGCTTACTGACACAGACGCTTATGAAATATTTGCGTAAACAAAGTCTAATTATGTCTAAAGAGGAAAGCCCATCAAGGGGAGAAGAAAAGCAGCGAGACCCATTAACATTGCTAAACAGTATCAATAGCCAAGATTTAGAAAACATGGGTGAGAAAAAAACTGGATAGTTGCTCTTGATATTATTACCACCACAATCAAGAGTCTGAAAGCAGGAACAGATGTTCTGAAAAAGTATCAGTTTTATCCACTGATTTGAATGTGGCTCTCTCTGGAGGGAAATTCACCAGCTCAGTTGGTTATTTTGTGAAGGAGATGACAACCAGTTCTCACAAAAACCATCTTGTGGCTGCTAAGGCAGCTCTTGATACGGATAGCTGCAAAGGGTGTGACAGTTTTAAAGACAAAACAGAAACCCTTATCCTCATCTCTAGAATAAGTAATACCAAAACCCTGCATTGATTTCTGTGAGAGACCACATTAATTCTGTCTGGTACCTCATCCCAAAATAGCCCGGCGTTCTGGCACTCTCACAGCACCGGAGATAGCGTGCCCTGCTCATTCACACTCCCAGCAAGCACCATGTGTTTCATTTAAGACTCTTAAATGAAACAGTAAGCCCTTCACAAAACGTAGTTATTCTTGCAAGTTAGGAGGGCACAAAAACTAAGTGGGGTTAAACACAACCATGTGGTGAGCACGGTACTTATGTCAGTGCAAATCAGAGGAGGCTCCACTGATTCCTGTGGAACTAAGCACTCAGTTCTCGTGGCAGAGCAGAAAGAAGAAACAAGAAAGCCAACAAATTCAGACAACGGAAAAGTGCCATCAATGTCAGGTTAATGCAAGTCAGGAGAAACTCTGCCAACATTCATCAGTTCAACTTCCAAAGCTTTGTGTTTCAGGTAGAATTATTAAGAATTTTCTTTCCAACTGACAGTCAAAGGTTCAGGGGATTGGGTGAGCAGGATCTCAGTTATTTCAGCATTAAACTTGAGATTAAGTCAGAGCACATTTTGAGTTCACTACAATTCTTATTTTTCCTGGATAAATATCGCTGCACTCGCTGTAAGAATCAATACAGACTGTTTATCTTTTTAGGTGCAGATGCAAATATCCAAACCCCAGTGATCACTCCAGCACGAATGGTCCAAGGCATTCTATTCTTCTATTACTCCAGTTCTGTGTGGAAGGCAAGCAAATTATTTTTACTAATATTCTCACAAGCTGTATTTTTCTAATGGATCTCTAAGGAAAAAAAGAAGTTGATAGCCATTTTTAACAGGGAATCTTTAAAACTAACAAAACTGAATCTTGGGATTTCCCTTTAACTACTCATTAGCGCAGTGAGTCCTTAATTACTCAGCACCCCATTTTAATAAAGCCCAATCATAAGGTGTTAATCATGAGAGTAAGAATGGATGCCAACTCTTCACTTACCATCAAATTATATATTTTGATGTTCAAGAAAGAGACAAACTGCTAAAACCCAACTACTGCCAAGGCCCCAAAATCACAATTCCCTCCTAACTGAAACTTCAGAATTCAAGAATCCATTTAGCTTGAGCAGATAAGACAAAGTGAAACAGTTGCATGACTGGAAATAACCAGCATATTTAGACTGAAGATTCAGCTATCAGGAATTTCAGTTTTCAGTGCCTACATAGATATGAAATATATGATGTAACATATATATGGTAAAAATCTTAAACCTTGATGCATCAGCGCTCAATGTTTTGCTCATCCAATATTGCCAGAGCATTTTGTGCAAGAAAGATTTTAATTTTGCACCTGATACAGATGTGATGCTACACAAACTGATAACGAGAAGCAGAAAACTGAAGAAGCAAAACCAGTTTCCCACACATATCCTAATCCCTTTCTTTTCATTCCCTTTCTCCCAATATAATTTGCCTTCTTTCTCCCAATATAATTTGTCTTCTTTCTGTTCCATGCCACTGCAGTTCAAACAAAGCAGCACTGCTGCTTACTCCGGGTCCACAGCAGAGATAAATGCAGCCTATGCTTCTTTAGAGAGATGCCTATTTGGAGTCATCAGCTGTGCCTGTCCTGCAGATATGTTCTTAGAAACTAAATGAGATGATACATATTTCTCTATTGTGATGGAGTGCCAATATAACAAAGTTCCATGAGGCAGCTTTTGATAGCAGGCAAACTTACTCATAAATTTTTCAGCAGCTATCATCAGAATTAAAAGCAGTGTAGAATTAAAGTTCAGAGTGGCATTATAACTTGGGACTTTTTTTTTCCTGGACAGTATAAGGGAAAAATGCTACTGGAGATGCTTCTGACATCAGCAGGCATTTAATTACCATCAGTGTCTGTAGCATATTAAAAATACTGTATAAGCATTAATGCTTAACAGCCCGAAAAAAGACATTTTTCCCAGGGTTATAACTTTGGATTATAAATTACAACCATCATAGGAGTTAACATGCCATAAGCCTATATGTCTAACCTTCTTTTGGGGCTTTCAGCAAGGTTTCACTTGTTACTTACTGGCTCTGTCAAATGATGGGAATATGGTCAGAGGATGCACCAGCTTATAGGTGCACCAACAAGACAAACTTCCCACTGAATCAAAGCACAGAGGCAGGTTAGTGTCAGTCTGTAGTTGGGTATCAGCTGGGCAGGAGTCAGGCCAACACACTCCCAGTCACACAACCAGTCAGAAATCAAAGTACAAATACTGGAAGCTGTGAGCCATACAGCAATGGGTCCTGGATAAAAGCAATCAAGGCCAAACAGCTTCCTGGCTTCTTTCAGATGGGAGCATATCACAGGTATAAGAGCACAGACAAGCTCTGAGGAGTCATCATATCATTGATCTAGAAATATCTGCCTAATTTCAATTTAACAGCACAGAAAGACTTGAAACTTTATAGTGAAAAACATCTGAAAAGATCAAGTACTGAAAAGCCCCTGGTGAACACAACCATTTACTAGGAGAAAACCCAAATATTCTGAATACATAACCCAACAAAGGATCTGTGTCAGGTTGGACGTTCTACCTATTACAGAACACAGAAATCTTATAGCTGAATTCCTTTTGGCTTGTACAGCTTTGCCTCTATAACTTTTAAACCCCTGAAAGAACATAAAGTTAAAATTTTAATGGCATTTCAGCAGAACCTCTTTGAATTTTGTATTAGATCACAATTTAGCCTCCGGTAAAGCCTTTAGAAATAAAAAATTCTCATACGTAAAAACGTAATAATCATACAGGAGCCTTCCAAAGTCAGCATCAAATAGAATAAAATATATTTTATTAATGATACAATTCACAAAATTACTAGTCCTGCCACTCTATGCCCACAAGAGATACTTCCTCTGCTGTATTATATTGCATCCACATTAGCTACTGGTGTTTGTTCTGTATGATTTAACCTCCTGATTGCCTTGAATTTTGGATGAACTAGCATACTTTCACTAATGATTGAAGAGTCTTTGGCCATAATAAGGACATTCTAGTCAAGAGTCTGTCCAGCAGAGTCAGTTAGAGATCATTCTTCAAGATCAGCTTTCATTTAGACTAACGTAGAGTCAAAGCTTAAACCAGCACTGGTAAGATGCTTCAGTTTCAGCTGAACCTATTGATGTGCAGAGCAGAACACCTGGTACTGAGCTGCAGTGCCTGCCTGGGCCAAATATCCTAAGCTTAATCACAAAGCTGTTATCTTTCAGTAGGTAATGTGAGCTTTCAGAGTCACAGAAGAACATTATGAATCAAATAGAACGTTTTCAGAGAGCAAACATTCTCCTTAAAGGTTCGTAGTGACAGTGTTGTTCAAACTTGTACATTCACATAAATTCAATACAACCAGTAGCAAAAGCAATGTATCAAATTTCATTTCTCAGGTACAAAACTGAAAAAAGTAAATACTGGATCCACTAAAATCAACTTAGTTTTTTTGTATTGCGTTAAGGAAACCAGGATTAAATTGAATTTAATGAGAAATAAATTAAGGTTATGTTAATTATTTTATTACTGCAGAATCTGTCAGCTGTGATCAAGGACATAGCCTCTTATTGCAGGAAGGGAGAAGACACTGAATGAAGACAAAAGACTTAATATATATAATGATATCTTTCATTTCATCACCTTCCTATACTGAGTTAAAGGCATTTCTTTATTATTCAGTTATTCATTAATACGTGTTCAGTATAATTTTCAGCTTGACAGTTGTTGGAGGTCCTATATTCTTTACATTGAGTTAACAATGCCTTTCAATAAATTATTGGCAATTGTAAAAGGCTTTAAGATTTAGACGTAGAAAAGGAACAACAGCTACTTACTGACTAAAGCAGCGAGGTTTCTGTAGATGCTGGCCAGGTCAAAAATGGCATCTTGAAGGCTGCAGTTGTCTGGAGTTTTCTTTGCCCAAATGTAAAGGGCCAACCTCCGGAAAAGCAATCTGCAACACAAATCTGTGTTAGTGCAAAGCAGGAAAAGCCACAAAGCCCTACACTCTTACCAAAATGAGTGATGACCTATGCCATACAATATTCTGTAGCACCCACTCCCTCTCTTATGAACTGTCTTCTTTACTGTTACTCGGAGGGACTAATGGCAAACATCTTGGCATGGCTTCCTTCAGCCCTTGGACAGGATTTGGTGGTTTTCATTGCCATTGGGATACATTTACCTACTGAGGGGTGGGATCATTGTAACCCAATGCAGGAAATCTAGATTCTAGTCCAGGTTTTGCTACTAATCCATGTATGTCTCTTCGTGCTACTGCTTCCCAGTCCATAAAGCAGCATGAGATCTGCCAACCTCCATTGTCAACTGCTGTGTGTAAGTTTATGGAACAGTATCAGTAAATATTATTACACTGTTAATAAGGTCCATATGTTCTTTTGGTATCTATTTTCAACCCTGGAAGCTTCATGATGATAGAAAAAAAAGCTACATAAAACAATACAAGACGATATTCCATAGCAATACATTCTTGTCTTTATCTATTCCTTTTCTCTTTTGTTTTGAGCACTAAACAGACTGTTATCCTGCCTTCTTTTCTGAGCTTTCCTTTAGTGTTCCCTCTTTAGACTATTTATGTGATTTTGAGATGTGCAAAACACAGCTGAAAAAAGCTAAAATGCATAAAGGCTGCTTAGTAATTCACATTTCTGTTAAAATATTCTATAAAGGCTGAATGACTGATATGAAGTATCAGGAAAGTCTGTAATGCAATAATCACATTGTAATACGTCTTCAGTAATCGACATACTCTTACCATGGTTTCTCCTTGCAAGTAGCAACAACAATAAAGAGCTCTGTAAGAATAATTCACACTGATGATGAAATATTAAGCTCTTTTATAAATATATTTCATAGAAAATTGCATATATACAGAAAATAGCTGAAACTCCTTGTCAAACAGCTCCTGTGTTACTAAGCAGTGATGTCTGCCTGCTGTCTGGCTTCTGACAGGAGAGCACAGCCTCCTCAGCCTGGATTGTTTTCCCAGGGAAATGGATCTTGTGTGCTACTCTGCTTCAGCAGAACTGACTTACTCTATATTGGATACTGTCCATGCCAAGATTTATCATTTAATTATAACTAAGAACATTGACTAAATCCCAGTTGCTTGGGGAAATTACTTAACGGAAATGCTGGATTCTCAATAAAACATTGGGAACTTATTGCTTAAACATCATCTCAGGGGTTCCCCCTCCTCCCTTAGCTTTCTGTTTTCCCAGCAGAAAACAGGCACTAATTACATGGAGCACAATAAATTCCAGAGGAAGTCAGAGAAACATGCTAGGAACACATGAAAGGGCAAACATTAGAAAGCTTTCTAGCATCTCAGATTGTCACAGATTGAGATTATTTGCCACACTTTGCCAGCCATTTTTCTTTACTGTGCCATCCATCCCTTCCATCATTTTTGATCATAGCAAGGCAGTCCTCTGCCACTGAGGATCATTTGAAACAGCAGCTTGAAATATGAGAGCGTATTTTCCATTCCTCATGTCTTTTGCACCACTGTAAAATAATTGTCACTGTCCCAAAGAGGTAACTCTTAATATTCAGGTTGTTTTAGGATGTAGCAACATAAAATGCAAAACACTACAGATGCACTCCACTCACCTTCAGGCATTCTCTTTTTATTTTTTTATCTCTTGCAAACGACTGAGAACTGAACTGAGTATTGTTCATGCCCTGAAAAAGCCAATGTTGAAAGTGGGCAATTATGCCTTCCCCTTCATTTGGAACACTCATCAAATTTTGGATAGGAAAAACTAACCATGCCACGTTCCTCAATGTTTCTAAGGGCAGAATTATAGGCAACATCCATCTTGACAACAACAGAAAACTGCACACATAATGACTACATTTTAAAAGCATGAAAGTCACCAACTGCCTCACGGCATCAAACAATTTCAGTTTTCCTCAAGTTTCATCAGGAGGCAGGAAGACACAGTGATGTCATGGGAGCGATTCTGAGCAGCTCCTGACTGTTGACACCCTGTGTATGGTACACAGAAAGGCTTGCAAACATTCTCAGAGCTTCATTAGGACAAACGAACCAAAATAATTAGAAAACAAAAAGACAGATTTACAAACATTTGTACAGAGAAACTCGAATTTGAAAGAATAAGGAAGTCTTTTCTTTCCCCCATAAATGCTTACAAAGCAGCAATTACATACAATTACAATTTATAATATCTCTTCCATTGTAATAACTTTTCAGACAACAGATCCTATTAGCTTGCAAAAAGTGCTATAGAGAAACATTAAAGGAGCTATAAATTAAAAGAAAATAATTTATTACAGAAAAGATGCCAAAACAACAATTAAGATAACTTGTTGTTTTAAAGCATGACTGCAACCAGGACAGTACAAAAAAATGCTGTTAAATATTCATCCCTAAGTTCTTGCATCTCAGAGCTGTCAAAGGACCTGCTAGAGTTTCAAAAACTTCACCTGATAGATGAGAATTATAGTCCTTATCTTCTAATACTCTACTTTGGGAAGAACTCTGGAAGTCACCCTATCCAAACCCCCTGCTCAAAACAGGACCAAAATGTGAAGCCTAGAGGGTGATCATTCAGAATTTTAGATGATAGCATAATTTGCACTCCAAATATAATAGTTTGGAAGAGTTTTATGTTTCTTTTCTTTTGTAGACTCTGATATCAAAGAAGAAATCAGGGTCTGTTGTTAAAATGTTTAAGTGACTCTTCTGAGAACAGCAGTCACTGAATGTATGAGACAAACAAATTGGCAAGAATTTAAGGCTAAGAAAAGGAATGTAAGACAGGTATGCAGAGAGTAAGGAAATAATTTTGGATCCTCCAAAGCTTCACAGTGTTAGAGACCTGAAGAGCCATTCTCAAATTGGAAAGACCATGCAGACTTCTTGCATTGATATTCTGTATGTGTGCTCCACATGCTCCACACCTCACCAATAATGTTTCTGTGAAAGGCAAGGCCACACGTTGGCAAGTCTCTTCTATTAGTTAGGGCTGCAGGAGCACTTCAAAGCAGCTGGGGTTCTTGATGACTAAGGAGGTTTGGCTGAAGAAATCATGTTCCTTTTAACTTTATTGTGATAATGTAATTTAGCTCAAGAAAGATTACTATTGAAAGCCTTACAGTAAATAGGAGGCAGTTCACAAATACAATTCATTTACCATCAAACACATGCCTCAGTAGGCAATCTTCTTGCTTGCTTGCTTGCTGGAAGTATTCCCTTCTGTAGTGATAGCTTTACTTGTTTCTCTAAGCCTTATATAATGAAAAATAAAATGCATTTACTCTTTGGAAAAGAGAGAAAAATCAGTGGGTGGAATAAACAGCCCAGTCTAACAGCCAGAGGTACATTTACTTTACTGCTTTAGCAGGCCAAGAAGAGACTTTCAGATGAGAAGACACATGGAGCAAATGAGCCTACATTTCATTTCTTGCTTTGTCTTACTGAAAAAAAAAAAAACAAATCAGAAATTCAAGTCATATTCAGGAAAAAAAGTTCATTGACTTCAATTACAAATCTGTAATGTTAGACCCTGCTTTCACAAGCTGCCTTGTGTGTGGCAGACCCTAATCCTTCATTCAGAGCAGCTCTGCAAGGTCAAAGGCATAGATGAGATTACAAGGTCAGGGCTCTTGGAGAGCTGAGTCTGAAAGGCAGTCAATTTGAAGCAGATGGTTCTGTGTACAGACCAAGCAAGATAAAGGGCACTATTGGAATATAAATGATGATTATTATTCAGCTAAACAGATGGGTAGGTCTTTGTAGGATCAGGGCCACTTGTAAAACAACTTGGAATTTTATAGTTGTAAAACCTGAATTTCGTATGATAGAATAGAAAACTAAATACCTCCTAAAGTAATAAAAGTACAGGGAAATGTTCTTCAAATAGGTTATTAAATAACAAAGGAGGTAGAAAGTAAGGTAAAAATAATACTTATTGTACTGAAAAAATTACAAGTTCTTTTTCATTTTGGTCCTTGAATATGATGGACCATGAAGTTTGCCATCCAGCACAGCTTCTACATGCAAACTGCCATGATCCTCATCCTGGCACTTGTCAGAAATTAGTTTGACAACCTCCTTTCTGTTCCAGGATGCTGTTCTGATGTTCACACTTAATTCATTGCTCACGGCGTCTACTAGAGAAGGTTTAACACACACGAGAAATGAACTGTGCTGCTACTTAAATAGGAAAAGAAAACCTAAATGGGGCAATGTAATGTATTGACTAATTATTAGCTGACACGATCCACCATTAATACAATGTCACTTCAATTGCATTATCTTTTCTCTTTAAGGAGTGGAAAAGCAATCCCAATTTGGAGGAACTGAAGCGATTCCATTCTCCAATCACCTCTCTGTGCAGCTGAGAACCTGTGAGAAAGAGACCTCACATGTATTTCCCTCAACACAGTCATAGTCCATCTCAGATACATAAGACATGGGCCTATCAGCATCTTTAATAAGAGAGCAGGCAGCGTTACAGAAGCTGAAGCAATTCATTATTAATAACATCCAGTGGCATGGCTCAGCACAATGATTTTAATCATCTAATTAGCTATTCTTCTACATTTCCTTTTTTTTCCTACATCTTTCATACTCTGAGAACCACTGCAGTAGTTCAAGTTTGAGCAGCAATGAAAAGATGATGTAGCCAAGCAGATAAGTAGGAGCAAACCTGAGTGTAACATCAACTCCATGCTTTCAATAAAGGACAAAGCTTTTCACCCATTATTTTCATTTCTGAGCTACAAAATGAAGTCTCTTTTGCTGTTCAGCTAATCCTCACTCTGTCTTGGAGAAGAGAGATGTTTTTGTCACTTCCTTATGCTGATAAGACTTGTATCAAAGTTGTGGGGGGAATGAATTGCAATTTTTCAATTTAAGAGACTGCTAATATCAGCCAGAGCCTTGGTTAAACAAATCCCTTGTGA